GCTAAAGACTTGGCCTTGAAGGCAACAAAAAGCAGTAAAAGATTTTGAGAACCCCTGATGTTACATTAGGCGGGACTGAATTAACAGGGCTAGGCTTGTACTCTAAACTTTCTCACAGTGTGCCTAATTTCATCAGTATATTCACACAATTGTGTGACTCTCTTCTATTTATGCTTGATGCAGGCATTTAGTAAGAGTGTTTCTTTTTCTTTTTACTTTTATATATTTATAATATTATAATTCATAATAATTATAATGTCAGGGACGAGGCTGACATTTCATGCTTTCCCGAGTCTTCATGCCCCAATTCCCCAGAAGGTTCATTCATTGTCAATGTTTTCTGAAGCTCTAAAATACTATTAGCCACATCGAAAACTTGTCTGATCGTTAAGGTTCCCTGTTTAAAAACAAATAACGCCCAGTTTCCCTGTCTGCATACGAATTTTAGGTGTCTTTACACTATATAAAACGTAAATAATGTTAGGTGTCTTTACAATATATAAAAGGTAAACAATGTTAGGTGCAGTAAAAAATAAAAGGTGTTATAAATAATAGATGAAGCTTGTTAAGTATCTTCACATAGCTTTTGCTGTCTTTATGTATAATGTTAGATGTCTTCACAGAATGTCCTCCACAAATTCCCAGGTTTACCTCACCATCCCATTCTTTAAAAAAAAAAAAGAAATCTTAACCTGGATGGCAGACCCAGGTAAATTACAGATACCCCATTCAACTTAACAAGAAATTGTAATTAGGGCACCTATAACGTCTACATCAGTCACGTCTTACCTGGGTACTTTATTTTTAATTCATCACAGAGAAAGAAAATCTGCCGTTCCCGGAAAAGGCCAATATTATGTGGGTGTTATGGGTTGATGTTAGGGTACAAATCTTCGTCAGCACCGACCGCATCAGAGACACCGACTAACCCTAACTCCTAATCCTAACCCCAATCCTAGGCTACTACATCCCTAGAATTATTGGTCTTTACGGAAACTCCAGGATTTCCTTTGTTTGGGTGAGTTAAAACTAAAATACCCTTACCTGCAGTTATAGGCAGGTGGGGGCAACTGCATTAAAGAAAACAGGGTCTTAAATGATACAGCTTTTTTTCTTTTTCCTCGAGTTCACCGGCTGTAAACTCCAACGGACAGTTTTGGTTGTTCGTCCACTTCTGGACATTGTTCTTGTAGTGGGATTTGTGTGGCTTTTGATGTCTGTGGCTTAGGCGTTGCGCACGCGCTTTGTAATGCCGGGGTGCCTGGTTCGATCCCAGCTGTGGGCCTTGTGACTTGCGTCGGTTTCGACAGTGGTATCGAGAAGCCGACCGTCCAGACAGCAATGGCAAACTACTGGATGTAAATTTGCCTAGAAAAAACACTACAGTCAATGTTGGAGTTGGTTTTGCAAACGTCCTGTAAAGGGTACGCAAATAACTTTTTTCTTTTAAGTGGGACTTGGGTTTTGCGTACCCATCCGTTTTACAGATTTGGGAACATTGTGTGCAGATCGATGGTTCTTCGTCTCTCGTGCATATGAACTCCGAAAAAATGATACAGCGAAAAATGAGAGAGAGAGAGAGAGAGATAGAGAGAGAGAGAGAGAGAGAGAGAGAGAGAGAGAGAGAGAGAGAGAGAGAGAGAGAGAGAGATGGCAGGTAAAAGAAGACAACTTTTTTCTCCCTAAAACATAAAATGGTTTTGCTATAAAAGTCGCACCCAAAAACCCTACCTGCAATTTATCACGTTATGTTTTGTTCGTTAACGGTGACACAAGAGCGCATTTATGACCTAACCAGGCAGAGACATGTTGATACATATTCTATGTAGCATTAAGAAAATTACCCAGATCTGCGTAGACAAATATTAATCAGCATCAAGTGCCTTGCCAACTGGCGTGCGCAATCATGCCTCTCTACAACCTACAACATGCAACTGCGGGTATCAGTACGTGTCTTGACACACCTCCATAATGTACTGCTTTACTCAGTCGTTCCTCTACTTTCTTGGGGGTAGAGATTTGTCAGAGAGATCGCCCCACTTCTCTGTCTGCACTTTTTTTGTGTGTGGCTTTGTTCCATTCCAGCCTTCTGTCAGTCAGGGACTGTCATATTTGGTCTTCCCAGCTAACCCCGGGTAGCTTGGTTCTTAAGCCCCCCCCCCCCCCCCCCCCAAATGCGTGCCATAGTAGCCATTTCTCTCCCATTCTGCATACATGTCCAAACCATCGTAATTGTGACTGATCCACTTCAGTTTGTACACATAATATGCTTCTACACAGGTGTGACCTTCCAGTGGTACACATGGCTAGTTTCTAACTTTACCTGGAGAGGGAAAGGAGAGCTCTTGAACGCTGTCACTTTGGATATGGTGCATAGAAGCCAGTGAATCATGCAGGCTTCTGAGTTTATTTCTAGAGATCGCGTGGTTTGAACTTGTATGAGTTCAGGTTCATTCTATCTCTACAATAAGCCGTAGCTTACTAACTGACATGGGTGGTTTTCTTTGGCACAGGATATTATGTTATATTATCACAATCAACGCCACTGCGCAATCAGCATTGCCATGCGTGACCAGTCCTCCAACGCAGCAGCCACTCTAAGGTACATCTACTAATTGTTCCCAGGAGATGTTGGTTCAAATGTCTTCAATCTCAGCCTCGCAGGCGGCACAGACGTGCTTCACCACGCAGTCGTGTTAGTGCCAGAGATTCGTCATTATCCATTAGCCCATACAGTAGCTGTACACTAGTCCGCAGAGCGTTGATGATATCTTCTCTGTCCGTGCTTTTTCCCACATGGGTTGGTGCATTGCTTGCCAGTTGGTCCGCTCGCTCATTATCCCTTACGCCAGCCTAAACATGTATATAGATCCAGGTGAAGAAGGTTAAGTGCGAATTTCTTATGTATTCTACCCATTCAGAGAGCATACTGTCCCGTTACCATCTTCTGAAGCATGTTCATGGAGTATGATAAAAATTTCTGCCTGTGTGGCTGTTTGTTCTGCTACCCATGCTAGTCGCACGGGAATGAAGCAACTGTGGCTTGTCCAGTTTTCTATGAGGCTGAAACTGTGACTATCCGATTAGCTCATTAGTGTTACAGAATAACATGTTCTGAATTACCAACTGTGTGGAAATCAAATTTTATCTGTTAGGATCGAAATCTTGTCCGCCTGCAAAATAGTTGCTTCCCCGTAAACTATTCATTTTAGGTTCGCCCTCCTAGGAGTTTTAGAATAGATAGCCTCCCTCGTAAAACAGATCCGACCAAGCACAAAGAAATATTTCGTTCAAAACAATTTCATCTCACTTTATGCTGTCAGCGTCAATGATCAGTCAGAACGATTTAAGAACGATTGATTTGCATATTAAATAAAGATCGAAACAACATGGTTAACTAATTCAGTGCCAATGAACGAACTTAGAACTCACCGTGTGTTTTTCAGTTACTTTTGTATGGTTCATAATTTGGTAATTTCCAATTTTGCATCGGGGCAACTTCTTCTTCTACTAATAGTTAATGCTTTGGTGCTTTGGTAATCATGTCTATCCACAACCTTCTGTCTAGTGTATTTTCAATCAGTTCTGACACAGATGATCTTCCATGCCATAACTTAGGCATTCTCTTTCTCTCCCCTTCCCCGCCCCCTTTCTCTCGCTCTGTCTCCCTCCAACTTTGCAATCGTATCGATGGACTCCAGTTTTCTTCTTCTCATGACATGACCAAAGAATGTGGATTGTCCCATTCTGGTGTGGGCAATCAGTTTTCTTCGTGATTCAGTTTTTCTCAAGACATATTAATGACTCTTTTTACCTGTCATGACATGGTGAAATGTGATGGGAAAGAGAGAGAGAGAGAGAGAGAGAGAGAGAGAGAGAGAGAGAGAGAGAGAGAGAGAGAGAGAGAGAGAAACAGTAAAGAAAATAGATCGTCTAACATTATGACATGTATCGAGATTAGTATTAGAAATGGTTGACGGTAAACCAGATAGAAGGTTATGACAAGACCTGATTGCCATCACCAAACAGCTTGGACTATTGTTGCTTCACGAAGATGCATTTCCAATGAAAACGATTTATTCTTGTAATCAGTGACTGCGTTTAAGTGTGTAATTATTTATGTCTTGTTTCCGTTATTTTTATTTCGAACATATTGTTTTTATTGTTTTCATAATTCCAACATGGTGACACAATGAAAGAAATTAAACGGCGACTATCAATTGCTCTTCAAAGACTAAAACAACTGAATAAATTATGGAATTGTACAGATATAATTACAAAGGTCAGATTTTTAAGAGCATGCATCTTTCCCATTGCAACATACGCCTGTGAGACCTGGACACTTACTAAACAAGCGGAACAGCGCATAAATGCATTTGAATATAAATGTTACAGACAGGTTCTAAGAATATCTTGGGTAAAGAAAAGAACAAATGCATCCATACTTCAAGAGCTGAATATTGAAGAGGGTTGGCTAGTAAAGACAATAAAACAAAGAAAATTGAAATATTTTGGTCACTTGAAACGTCATGGAAGTCTAGAGAGAACAATAATGGAGGGGTATATGCCTGGGAAGAGAGGAAGAGGAAGGCCAAGGAGAAGATGGGTGCAGGATGTGGCAGATGATCTCCAGAAGGGTGTATCAGACGCAGGACATCTTGCTCAGGATACGAAGGTTTTCCGGAGGGTTGTTATGGCAGCGAGGTTCCGCGAGGGACATGCTACTGAATGAATGAATGAATTCCAACATTATGATTTATATATACGAATTGTCTAAGTATATTTCACAAGATTATTAATAATAATTCTGAATTTTACCATACAGAGCAGATTATAAACGCTATCTATAAATAAATTAAACTAAAAACATTAGATACGAGAAATGTGCCATATTGTGTCCTTGGTACCATAGAGAAAACAGTACACACTACATGAAAGTATAGTCAGTGGAGACAAGAAACAATCCAACCAACAGCAAACAGGATATAGCAGAAGTAACAATGGGTAAGAAAGATGTTCATGTAATTGTTGTTGCTATTGTTTTTGTTCTGGTTTTGTTGTTGTTGCTGTTGTTCCTATTGTGGTTATCCTGCATTACTGTTTCTTTCTCTTCTTTCCCTTCTTTGTCTTCTTCTTCTTTTCTTCTTCTTCTTCTTCTTCTTCTTCTTCTTCTTCTTCTTCTTCTTCTTCTTCTTCTTCTTCTTCTTCTTCTTCTTCTTCTTCTTCTTGTTCTTCTTGTTCTTCTTCTTCTTCTTCTTCTTCTTCTTCTTCTTCTTCTTCTTCTTCGTCGTCGTCGTCGTCGTCGTCGTCGTCGTCATTGTCTTCTTCTTCTCCTCCTCCTCCCCTCCTTTTTCTTTTCCTCCTCCTCCTTCTTCTTCTTTTTCTCCGCCTCTTTCTTCTTCTTTTTCTCCGCCTCTTTTTTTTTCTTCTTTCTCCTCCTCCTTCTCCTCTCCCTCCTTTTTCTTTTCCTCCTCCTCCTTATTTTTGTTCTCGTCCTCCCCCTTCTCTTTCTTCTTCTTCTTCTTCTTCTTCTTCTTCTTCTTCTTCTTCTTCTTCTTCTTCTTCTTCTTCTTCTTCTTCTTCTTCTTCTTCTTCTTTTTCTTCTTCTTCTTCTTTTCCTCCTCCTCCTTCTTATTATTATTATTATCTTCCTCCTTATTCTCCTCCTTCATCCGCTTTTCCAACACTGCGATATTGCTGCGGCGCTGTAAATTAAAAAAATATATGTTATTGTTTATTTTAACATCTTGTATGTTAAGCACAATCCCTCGGTCTGTTTCAGAGATTAAGTTAAAGTTCCTTGGCCGTTATATTCCTTGCCATTATTTTATCTGTTTAATGAGATATACTACACCTAGTAAAGAATATTTTTCCTCGCCGTGGCGTATTGAGTGTGTAGTGCCAGTTTCGTATTTGCATAGACTAATCGATACGTGCAGTATATCTTTGTCATTGAGAGTTAGAAAAATAAATCTTGCTTGCTAAATACATGCAGTTTTAACATATGGCTGTGAATCCTGGACAATCTATAGACACGCCAAACAGTTTCTTGAGGCCTCAGAGATGTGGTTTTACAGAAGAATGCTTAGAATACCTTGGACAGTCAAAAAGAGCAACCAAGAGGTTTTGAAAGAGGCGGGAGCCCGAAGACAACTTATTACATATATCAGAAGGAGACAGACATTTTTCGGCTATGTTATGAGAAGAGGGAAGATTAAACATGTGGTGACCACTGGAAAGATCTGTGAAAGGAGGGATAGAGGAAGACAACGGAGAAGATTCTTGACAGTCTTGTTGCATGGCATGCAGGTGTGTCAGCACACGAACTGATACATGCTTCAGGAGATCGCAGCCTGTGGAGATGCATGATCGCCCACGTCAGTCGGCAAGGCACCTGATGATGACGAATCGATACGTAATTTGTTGAATACTTCGCTGGTCACTTTCATTTCCGAATACCGGTCACTTTGTGGTTTCTACGAGGGGGGGGGGGGGGGGGGGGCTTCAGATGAAAACATGAAATGTCTTAATGAAATTCACGATAACCAGGGCCATTGTCTTGTAACCTATCAGTGTCGTCAAGAGTGTTAAGCACGTGACATCACGGTGCAGGTAAACACAGTGACGTCGTAATGACTGTTCAAAAGTGGCGGCGTTCGAAGCCTTATCGAACGAAAAGGTGGTTTTTCAAAAATCAGCCTGAGGTTTAAGCCAAGCGTCTTTGGGTGGCCATCTTGTTGTTGCCTAAAATGGAAATGCAGTCGATGTAATGTTGCCAATATCATCCACCAAAAGCAAATGGCTCTTCAAAATATGGGGCTTACATTAAATATTCATTCCACCTATAGGCAAGGATTGGAGTGCATATACCTTATTAATCCACCCCATTATCTTTAAATGACAGTCTTTTGGCTAGGATAGCAAATGCACTTTAAAGTCCAACCATTCTGGTTAAACAAACCTGCCCCAAAGTCCAACCAGTCTGGTTTAACAAACGTGCCCCAAAGTCCAACCAGTCTGGTTTAACAAACGCGCCGCAAATTTGAACAAGTCTTTTGCAAAAAAACGTATAGTAAAGTTCCGGCTGGTTATAGCAGGTAGGACCAAACCCACCAGATGTGATCTTCTTTCCCACTTATGTTTCTTCCGCCCACCCCTCCCCGTTTTTTTAATATTCTACCTGGGGTGGGCCTATCTAGTCACGAGCTGTGGATGTCTCTTCTACGTCGCCGCATGCAAGAATTTTTCGCCAGTTTCAAGAAATTCCAGTTTTTTTTTTTCAATTACACTTCAATTTTAGTGGGCGACTGTTTATTTTGTCACTTCTGGTGGTGGTTGCCTTGTGCATTTATTGCGTGTATGTATATGCTACTGAATTTGCCAAGACAGCAGACTGTTTTATGGTGTGGAAGTGTATGTGTGTGCGTGCGTGATCGCGCGCGTGCGTGCGTGTGTGTGTGGGGAGCTGGGGTGGGGGGGGGGAGGCGCTCGCGATCGCTACTTGAATGTTTTTGCTGTCACAAGAACGAAGCAGTTATTCCGTGACCCGTTTTTAGTAAAATTGTAACTGCGACCTTTTAGAAAAGTATCTGACTGAGTAATCAACTTTCTAGCTAGTTAGTATATTAACGGTTAAAAATTATGTAAGAAGATACAAGAGACTGAAAAATTCCTGTCGCCCCAGAGAAAGGACTGACGTCTTCCTTCGAAGTCGGAGTATACCCGAGAGGTAGGGAACAAGAACTGCACACAAATAAGCCAGTAAAACGGATGTACAAAACTCAGGTCCTGGTACAAAGCCAAAAGTCCAAATTGACGAACAACCAGGACTTACCGCCGAAATACACAGCCGGTGAACAAGAAGAAGACGAAGAAGAACAATTCACAATAAGGAACGGAGTGTCCTACTGAGGAACAATCCCATATCCCACTCAGGCTGCTAATAAGATTTTTTTTTTTTTCTTTTTGAAAAACCCAACTAAGCTGAACAAAAACCCAAGCAATACATAGGCAAAGAACCCCCCCCCCCCCCCCCCACACACACACACACACACACACACACAGAGAGAGAGAGAGAGAGAGAGAGAGAGAGAGAGAGAGAGAGCCCTGATCCCACTATTCTCCACAGGTATAGTTTACTGTATACTGTGTCAAGAAAGGCATGTCATCTGTTTGTCTGACGCCCTACTTAAGGTGATTCATGGTCGGCCTCTCCTCGTGGGGGCGTCATTGACTACAGGAGCATTCGGGTTCGAGTTGACAGGTGTGGAAACGGATTTGAAAAGAAACCAACTGTGCTGTCTCGTATCTCCAGCGGGGGAGTGAAAAGTAGATGGTTAGGTTAGTCAAGCCACCAAACCAGGGCTGCCAATGCTGCCCCCCCCCCCTCCCCCGCCCTAGATCTGGGTTTTTATTTGACGCCATGGGGAAATCTGTTTTTTTTTTTTAAATATCTTAAAATAAAAGTGGTAAATGTTTTGTTTCGTAACTATAAATTTTGTACATTTTAACAATCTGGGTTTTGTGTGTTTAGCGAAGCTGGGTTTTTCAAAAAAAAAAAAAAATCCTATTGTTAGCCCTGCACCAAACTTGTGATTCAGAGATTGAGAGATTAAGTGAGGAGCTACAGGTGTAGTCGGGCGTCGCTATATTTACAAGTGGGAAATTCTATGTGAATCATTCAGTGCCTTGCTAATCGATGACTAAATCCAGTATTGTTTAAATAAGCTGCTGTAGTCATGTGGTTTCGAAAATGCTGAAGCAGTGAGGCATAAGTTAAAAGTAAAAGTTTCAATTCACACACTGAGCCGTTTTTGATCTTTTAAGCTTGCATGTCTGTCTGTCTGTCTGTCTGTCTGTCTGTCTGTCTGTCTGTCTGTCTGTCTGTCTGCCTGCCTGCCTGCCTGCCTGCCTGGCTGCCTGCCTGCCTGCGTGCGTGCGTGCGTGCGTGCGTGCGTGCGTGCGTGCGTGCGTGCGTGCGTGCGTGCGTGCGTGCGTGCGTGCGTGCGTGCGTGCGTGCGTGCGTATGTATGTATGTATGTATGTATGTATGTATGTATGTATGTATGTATGTATGTATGTATGTATGTATGTATGTATGTATGTATGTATGTATGTATGTATGTATGTATGTATGTATGTATGTATGTATGTATGTATGTATGTATGTATGTATGTATGTATGTATGTGTGTGCATGTGTGTGTGTCTGTCTGTCTGTCTGTCTGTCTGTGTGTGTGTGTGCGTGCGTGCGTGCGTGCGTCCGTGCGTGCGTCCGTGCGTGCGTGCGTGCGTCCGTGCGTCCGTCCCTCGGTCCGTCCGTCCGTCCGTCTGTATGCATGTATGTACGTATGTACGGATGGATGAAAGGATGGATGGATGGATAGATGGATGGATGGATGTATCAGGGCCTTCTCTGTTTATGTGTGTATGTATATTAGTGTGCGTATATGTGTGTATGTATATGAGTGTGTATGTATTATATGAGTGTGTGTTTTTGTATGTATATGAGTGTGTATGTGTCTGTGTATGTGTCTGTGTATGTGTCTGTGTATGTGTCTGTGTATGTGTCTGTGTATGTGTCTGTGTATGTACGAGCATGTAACAATTGTGTACGTGTTTTTGTTTTATGTGTATTATTGTGTATATATGGTATGAGTGTGCATTTTTTAATCGTATTTCAGTATATTTTATGTAGAGATTTCATACGTTATTGTAAACATAACTTGTATTACTGATAACATGCAATGTTGTCTGAAAGACGAGTGCTTTGGAAAGCTGAGTTTAAGACGGGCCTGCGTGCCCAATTTGTAACCCTTTTAAACTAAAGTTCATTTGTTCCTTCCCGCCCCCTTCCCATAATTTTATTAGGTCAGCTCTGCCCCCACCCCTACTAACCCACCCCATTAGGAATAGAGGAGTTGGGGTGGGTAGACCCACTGCCCGCTAACAACCCTGTAGGAACAGAGAACTAATTAGGGTCGTTTCCTTGAAAGCTGGAGTGCA